GCCACTATGTACTAGTACCAAAATCGGTGCCACAACCTCCCACTTTACCATCGCCAATATCGGCGCCCCAATATTCATCTTTTCCGGTACTGATATCAGCACATCACCAGCAAAATTGCCTCCAAATCTCGCTACACCTCGGCCTAATTTCATCTCAGCCGACTCCCTTCCTTCTCCCTCACTTACACTCAGCTCACTCACCATTCTTGCCCTCCCTACCTCCTTCCGATTCGAACTCCTCCACATTGATGACCTAAACAGAAATCCCATTTACATCACCATAGCAACATCTAAGTATCAGAATTTATTTACCTCTAACCTCAATCTCCTCCTAACTAGGTAAGATCTTTTTCGCTTGTACGTTTCTTCAACCTCTGCTCTCGATCTCTCCTTAAATTTCTTCACTCCACCTCCTTCCCTGTCGACTGGCCTCCGTTTTGCATGCGCGCTGATCTTCTTCTTCTTCTTCTTCCTTCACTGCCGTCTCTCCTCTTTCCCTCTCTCCCAGCCTCTGTTTCACCTCCCTCACCCCTCTTTCCCTCTAGGGTTTCTTCTACCAGAACAAGTAGGGGAAAGAAAGCTTAAATATGGTGTCCCAGAACCGTCCAATCTCCAGGACGAATCTGAGCCATCAATTTCCTCTTTTTTTTTTTCTTTTTTGTTATTAAATTCCCAATTTTTTCTTCTCTTTTTAAAATCTTTACAACCCAAACCCTACTTTATTTCCATATTGCCCCTCTTCTTTAAAATTATTCCCATGTAATTTTAGGTGCTAACGAGTATCCAAGCGATGGAGTCAAGCAAGTGATGTTTCTCAATGATGCTAAAAATGAAAGTAGAAACATTTGACCATACCAAAAGTCCTTTACAAGTGTGAACACGTAAAAAAACTGTATCAACCTTAAATGCTTAATATAACAAAAGAAATGTTTCAACACATCTACCTAGATGACTAGAATCCAAACATTAAACCCACTATGTTGCGCCAAACAAAAAGACATTATTGGCTAGACCTAGTCCAGTCCACAATTTGGTTAGATTCCCACAACACCTATTACATGTCTATGACAATAAAACTGTAGGTCTGGAAGTAAAAACCTTACACCAAATTCAGTAAGAACTGCATAGAAAAAACTACATGTGTGAGTAGATCATGCACCAATATTGCCCTTAATCACATTCCTAAACTATTTAAATGCCTTTATGAAATATGAAAGAGCAAAAGATGTCTTCTCATACCTTGTCTCCAAGGACTTGCAATAAATTTCTTCCAGGTCAAAAGAAGATCTGAAATCCTCCTTCTGTAATAACAAGAACATTTCAATAACCAATGTTTAAGCAATCTTATCAAATAAAAACAAAATGGCATGCAATATAAAAGCAAAAAGATATCCTTGTTTGGATTTAAGCAAAAGATAAGTATAAAGCAGAAAGCACATACGAAGAAACACACTACAAACTAGAAGATTTACATGTGGTCTTAACAGTACCATATAGATTTTGTGAAGGACAAATATAACGAATTTTATAAGCCAAATGCCACATAGATTCAAATACCATATAGGTTTAAACAATTTTTTGACGATCACATTATTTACTCTTAGAATTTTGATGCAGGTTTGGCTTGGCTAATGTCTTACACTGCAATCTATACCCATTTGTACTTAACCCGTTATAAGTGGTTTTGAATTTCATTACTAAATCCTCATCCTCAGTACGGATATGAATAATTCATTTAACATCCATAATAAAATAAATTAAAATCAACACATAAATTTTTAAACAATCTATTATAAAATTACTATCGCTCAATTCCATTCTTAGTCCAAAAACACTATATACAGTATCTACTTCATAAACATATCAAACTAATAAGATTTCGGAGCTAAATTCAGACATGCCTAACTAACCCATAAAACATGATTTGAATAGCTTAACATATAGGAAGAAGGTCAAATTCATTATACCGACGACCAATTACATTGAAATTTCAAGATAGGAGAAAAGGTTCTGTGCAAAAAGTAAGGGAAGACATCATCAAAGTTTGAAAGTCATCGCGTCTCTATAATTTCAATGATTCATTATTCCGTTTAAAGCATTTTCTCAGTGATAAATATTGCATTAGAAATGCATCAGAAAAATATACACATTAAGCAGTCTGGATACATCATACGCTACTACATTACTTTCCTCCTCTGTTTCCTAGGCAACCAAACAGAACACCACTACCAAACCTACCTCGATTCCCGCTTCAGACCGGAACTTCTTCAGCGTCTTTGAAAAACCATTGCGTTCAAGGTACTGAGCTACTGAGTCCAGAAGAAGAGCCTTTGTGGTTTTCTTATCTTTGTTGATATTGTCCTTCTGAATTTTGCTTCCCTTCATTTCAGGTTTTAAAAGCAGAACTTGGCGAGGCATGAAAGCTATGAGAGCAGGGTTCACAAAGTTGAGTGAAGCTGTGAGGGTTTCGGGCATAAATAAAGCTGTACTTCGGGTGAGAGCTTGAGAGGGAAGACGATGATAAAACTCCCTGACGAGAGGGTTTAGGAAATTAGGGTTTCATGGAAAATGATATAAACCCGACCCGAATATTAACCCGGGATCAGCATAGAAAGGTTTGTCGAGTTGGGCTGGACAGTTGGATTGGGTTGGACCGATTCAAATAGATCCAATTAGATTCTTTTTGGGCCTAACTCGATTTAATCCAATAAAATTATTTTTTTTTAGAAAATAGTTAAAGATCTATTTATTTTTAAAATTAAATTCGGTATAAATACTTGCTACCGGATGTCCTTACAATTATATCGATTTGATAATTTTAGTAAATTGAATATTAGTTTAATTAATTTACGTAAATACTTTTGCATAAATATTTTAATTCTTTTTATACACGTTTTTGCTAATTATTTATCTTATAAATAAAATTTTATATTTTCACATTTTGAAACATAAGTGTTCTTTTTTGTTTCTAATATTTTATAATCACGTAATTAACTTGTGATATCTATTTAATTATTATTTAACATTTATTAAAATAAATTTAAACTGATATATATTTATTAGAAAATATAAATTTGATTATAATCACACTCAAACTATAAAATTAACGGAATGACCTATGCTTGTACATAACGTATGTGGTTGTATTTATAAATTATTCAATAAATATATATTTTATGAATATTTATTTTATAAATAATTTTTATTTAAAAATCATAAAATTAAATATAAATTAAATATATTACAAGTAACGATGAGGATCTCACATCCACGTGGCATCTATTTATTGCCTGCATGGAAGAGCGCGCCACTTACTACACCAAACACACTACGCGTGTACCAGCCTATCTTTATAATAGTTTATAACAATTTTCGTATAAAAATTTACGAATACCGGAGAGATCCTGGAAGCCATGATGGAGAAAAACGAGCAACAGAAAAAGACAGGAAATAACTTCGAAAAGAAGATCGACGACGATAGAGTTGGGTCAATAAAAAGTTCAACAGATCGGACGACGGGAATTAATCCAGTTGCAAAAATGTTAATTTGTAGATCAATCATCACCGATAACACTGTTGACGCTAAGAATACCGGTGGCGCTCAAGATCTAGACGATGTTCTTATCTTTTTGAGATCAGTTCAGAATATCGATTATTCGCTTGAGTAATATATAATATTTTGTATAGAAATTTTTAATCTGAACTTGATAAGATTTGTATTGTAAACGAAAAGATGTAATCTTTTTTTTTTTTTTCAAATGAAATTTATATTGTTTAATAATTTAATATCAATGATACCATGATTAATAAATTTTATAATAATAATATAACTATAATATACATATATATATAAGTTTATGTGTACTTTTACATAATTGTGGGTCACTGATTTCAAATATATGTTTCCGAAAGGCTTTGTATTTGGGAATTGCATGCAAGTACAGGAAAGAAAAAGAAAACACAAATATAGTTGATTGATAACCACATAGATACTGAGAGGCGATGGGTATTGGAGAGGTGGACATGTGGCTGTCAATGATTGGCGGATAATAACAAAAGAAGTTGTGGGCCCAGCGCGGAAGCATTTTGATCGAGAGAAATTTGGAGAGTCACGATTTACATTTTTGCTGGAGGGTAAGATTGGGAAATTTACATTTCTCCACCAAGGACCACCCTGCCTATAATTTCATTTTAATATAATTTCGGAATAATTTAGGCTGTACATAAAAATAAAATAAAATTTAAAATAAATTAAATTTTTTATTTTATAAAAAATATGTACCCATATAGATATTTTGTATTATATTTTAAAAATTAAATTTTATTTTATAAATTATTATACATTTTTAGCTCTGTATTAATCATGTATAAAAATGATGGATAATTTGGAAGAAACAAAAAAAGGTTTCGATTTATTAGGAATCTCCCAGGCCCAGCCCCATGCATGTGAGGCAATTTCCTAATTGGGCCTACATCGCTTTCTTTGTCCCACTATATGTATATATATTTGATATGATATGTGTATATACGTATGTATATATATATATATATATATATGTTCAACCCTAATGTCTGACAGACTTGATTCAATCAATTCAAGTCACATATGTTTTTTAAATCACACAATAGTTATTTGTCTGACCACATTTATATATATATATATATATTTATTTTAATTTTCCTATCTATTTATTGTTGGAAGTTGACATGGGTATACACAATAAAAAATGTTGCATATAATATATGGTTTGCAGCATTAAATTTGTAATTCAATTTGTTACCAAACATCTTTCCCAACTTATTAATTCATACGTACAAAATATTTATTCACCACAATAATATTATTATTATTTATCATGCGGGTTAGTTGAGCAGCCAATATTCATTCCTCTACTATTTTTTATTATTAAAAAACTAATAAATATACACAACCATATAAGTTATTTTAAAAACTGTTCCAAGTAGATGTTAAAATAGCTATAAAAAAACGATAAAAATAATAAAATTGTAATTAAATTTTTATAATTTTCCTTTAAAAAAATTTAAATAATCACATATAACAAATATATCCTACTACATTTTAGATGTCTTATAATTGATTTGATTCATATAAACTAAATGAGAAAATAAAAGTTGAAAATATATTTCAATAATGTTTTACGAGTATATTTGTAAGGACTAGAAAGTAGAAAAAATAGAAAAAAAATAATAATAATAATAAAAACGACGTCGTTTTAGAGAGGGAAAAAACGACGTTGTTTTGAAAGAAAGGAAAACGACGTCGTTTTGGGATGTAGGAAAACGACGTCGTTTTGGGGTAGGCTGGCAGAATAT